TCTGTTGTCATCAGTTTGGCCGTACACTTCCTATACTGCCTCGTGGGGGCTTAATAGTACTAGTTCATATCAAGTTTCTAGAAAGAAGAACTCTGCAGTATCCTCGCTTTCATTCGATCGGTCGACCCAGTATAGGCGAAGACGTATATAGCATAACCGTCGGCACTGGAACCTGAAAATGTGGGAGAAGGTTTGCCGGGTCGCTACAACATCGTTTACATGGTTGAGCGAAATCACACAAGTCAAAAGTAAACCAAGCTAGAATGAGTGTCGTGGCCGTAAAGCTAATGATGAAGTGCTGCTCTTAGTTTGTAAACTCGACAACATTGGTTAAGAAGTTAAGAACGGCCTCTTAGTTTATTCATTAAAAGGAGAAGTAGAAAAGGAAGATGAAAGGGCAACAGTTTTGTGCAATCATGGTGTTGAGCAACCACCCGATTTGAGAGTAAGATGTATGGAGTAAGAAAATTCATTCGAATAAGAAAAGCAGAAGACGAAGATTGTAGGATGGCGCTGCTTAAGTGTTCAATGAAGAAACCCATATCGAAGCAGTGCATTTCCCATTATTTCTGAAAATTCACGTGTAGTTGAGGAGACAACTAGGTTGGGCGCACTGATAGAAAGCTGGATATTCGAATCCATGAACACCTTTCAACGTGGCTCCGCAAAAAATGGGACATGCGACGGTGAATTGAGAAGTAAACTTGCCTCTGCGCTTACAAGATGTTTGATGTGCACCGGCCACCAGGCACGTCCGGATGAGAACTGAGAACTGAGAACTGGTGCGAAGCAGCGAGTAGAGGTTGCTCTGTGTAGCTGCATCATTCGTCGTTTTCGGACATGAACTTTTTATTTATCGTTTCGCTCTTTGTACTTTGCCTCTGCAAATTGTTTGTCTAGTAGCGTCTTGAATTTAGCCACTGTGTTTGCTTCTACTATATGCTGAGGCAGGTCGTTCCAGACATTCACCACTCTTCGTTCGAAACAGAGTTGATGAGCGACCCGCTTCAAATCCGGGACGATAAGTTTATACCGGTGTCCTCGCGTGCAGCTTGGTGTGCGCAGATGAAGTAGTTGTCTCAACATGGGGTAATCACCCAGATGTAATATCCGGTGCGTCATGATGAGGTCAACCCTCAGCCGACGATGAGTCATACAAAGTCCCCATGCGCAGCCAAGGGCCTCAGGTATTCGAACTACCCAAGGTCATCGTTATTACTCGACATCACACACTACTGTGTGTCCAAAATTAACTGCCTATGATATTAAGTCTGCCGACTGGTGTGCAACGCACCAAGCGGAAAACAGTTGACTAATAATTGATTTCATGTGACATTGCTTTGCATTCTTGTCAGTGGCATGTACTTGCCGACAAGTATGCACGAAATGATAGTGTCAGCTCACAATCTTCTTCCTCTGAAATTGTTATTTAGAATCATAAAGGAATTCATGTTTCAAGTTACATTGACGCAGCACTCTGAGTTAAAACGAAATGAGGTGGATGGAGGTAAACTTGGGGTATGGTGCATATACTCAGTGGGATAGGATTTAAATTTGTCACGTGCGCTCCTAGAAAATTGAGGACAAGCCGTAGGTTTTCCGAAAGTAGCAGTTCATGCTACAATTTGTGCCCACAGATGAGTATGAAGGGCATACACCACATTAGCAATGGAATAATGGTATAATACGGCTGAAAGAGACAATGGTTGAGGGGTCCCGTGGGATTGTTTATGGTAACTACATACTTACAAATAAGTGACGATCAAGTGAAATGTGCGTTTATGAACGCAAGACAGTATACACGTTTACGCACAAGTATATCTGTTTACCTCAATTTCGTGGCGTGTTGATGAGTACTATTTGTTCTGCGTCTTGTCGTCACTCGATGAGAGGAATTCATATCGCGTAATGCGGACGGTGTAATTCATTGTCGAGTCACTTTTAATAATGGGTAGCGTGGGCGCAGAAATAACAAGTCAAAAGAGGGTTCTGCGTCCGACAAATTGGAAGAGAAAATTAATACTGGCCGCGTTCCAATTAACTGCATGTGCGGCCTAGTTTCAACTAGTGTACCGTCCGTTTTTGTGTCACTGTTAAGTTTCAAGAGGTGGCGGAAACGTGCCTGAGATTTCTCAAGATCCGGTACGCCGAAATGAGGTCGCCCCGTAGATAGCGATAAATTCCGTTGTACACTGCCAGGCTTTTCGGTCGCAGATAGTATGACAGATGGAACCATTCCTTCACATGCTTGGTTGCCCTTTGCTGTGGGGTCTCCAGTGCAAGCGGAACACATTTTAGACAGGGCTGACAGGCATGAATGCGTACTCTACATGAGGCCTCACATACGTATTAAGCATTTGGGAAAGAATGAAGGAGTTGAACCGCCGGAATCTCAGCATGTCCGTAGGACGTTGGGTGCTTCACATGACTTGTGGGGAAAATTTACTTGGCTATCTTTTGTTCGGAATTTGCTCTGAGTTTAAGACAACCTGAGGGAGAAAAGAGGGACACAAAATTCCCTATAGCTTTTTCACTTAACTGTCAACCGCCATCTTTGATAGCCCACCTTATAGTTCTCGTAGTTGCCTTTCGTTCGCGACCACAAATATTGCTCTGTGGCTCAGGATTCGGAAAAGCGCACACACGTCTTCCTGCGGGAAGGATGCAAAAAACTGCGGTTTGGAAGTAGAAGGTGATCCGCACCAACTAAATCAGAAAGATGGTGTGTACTAAATAGCACTGGTTAAACCAGATCCCATGATTGTAATCACAATTGTGCGCGGTAAGGTTTGTGATAGTAAATCAGGTCTGAGTACGTGGCCAAATGGGATGTGACCTTACGCCGTGGGAAGTACCCAGGGATCTGCCTGATCTGATTTATGTGGTCTCGATCAGCAAGCGACAATTGTTCGCTCCAACCATCAAAGACAATCCGTTTCGTCCGTACACTTTCTGATGTTAAGAAAGTATTAGTTGTAAACTGCTGTAGTGCGTGTCTGAGTCTGACGGGGGCTCCGAGCTTCTGCTTTGTTTAGCTATTGACCCGTTTGATATGAGTGTTCTAGGAAAAATTTGCCCAACGAATTGCAACTATAATATCAGTTTGATTTGTGCTATCTATGCTATCTATGGTGTATTACGGATAAAAAAGCAATGCTTGACAAGTCCCTTGGGGTGTAAATCATGGAAAAAGTCAAGATTCATGATAAAGGGAAAAGCGTTTTAGTGAACTCACCATAGACAGGTGCAGACGATGCTCACGTAATAAAAACATAAATTTATAAATCCTTTGGTTGAAATTTCGGAAACACGCCGTTTGGTTGCATATTGTATCACACTGGCTAATACAAGTTATAAAATTAAGTACCAATTGGACAACGGATCTTTATAGTTTTTAATATCGTTAGACTTGGGGTAGTGATGAAATAATTAGTGAGAGCGTTCCACGGCTGACAAATACGGAGGGAGAAGATATTTCTACAGCGCTGCAGCCGGCTATACTGTACTGTCAGTTTCAGAAGATGATCTCTTAGTTTATTTTTGTGGTTCAAATCCGGCAACGGGCGGCAGATGCGGTTTACGTTCTTCAGAATCTGGTATCGACTGCTGTACATCCCTAGACCATGCAATGTAGGCTGAGTGAGCAATGGAAGAGGCCCCTAACGTTCTTGGCTGTCCCCAGTTGAGGAGTCTCGAAAGCAACGAGATCATCTTCCTGCCACCGCTACCATGCTTAGATGGTGTATTCCGTGTGCAGAAGCACATAGGCGTTGAGCATTTGTGGGAAGTTTGAGGGGTCAAACCGACCGAACAATCTACGAAGAAGGCCAAAGTGTTGATTGCCGGTTCTCGACGCCTTCTCTGCTTGTGTTGAGCATCCAAGGTAGTGCTGTACCAGTACACCCAAGCCAAGCTCCTGAGCAACCTTCTGCAAGTTGTGGTCTCCAACCTTTTAACCGCTCACCGTATCGTGACGCAGACAGATCATCCTGCGCTTGACAGTGTTGAATTGGAGTTGGTTTCTGGTCGACCATTCATAAATGCAATCCATGTACTGTTGGAGTAGATCGTGATCTTCATTGTTATTAACTTCTCGCCATATCTTGACCTCACCAGCAATCAGACAGGAAATTGGAAGAGATAACTCTTGTCAGGTCGTTGATAAACACCAGGAATAATCGCTGTCAACCATAAACACTTGGTAATCCTTTTTGCTCAGTTCCGTTAGCACAGAAAGCTCACATGCCGGTTGGACAATGGGTGTTGCTCACTCAAAATTCCTCCAAACACCGGTTATGTTTGACTTTTATCACATGCTGCTTTCAGTCGCACTGTAAGAGGGCTTGAAGAATTTAATCTAATCGCATGGGGGACGACTTTCTTCATTAGACTATTTCGATTGATGAGTTAACCAGTCGCCAAAATGTAGATGTGCGCTTTGGAAGATGATCATTTTGAAGTGCACGTTGTGTGATTTAATTGCGACGCACAAGCTCAATTTAGACTGTGATTCGCTCTGAAGTAAACCCTGGTCAATTCGATCACTAGGACCGTCGCTGATGAACCAGAAGGAAAGTAGGTCTTTCTCGCCTGAAACCAAGTATTTGCTCCTACCATAAACATACTACTGTCCCATGACTATGGGCAAGCACAGAGTAATTAAAAGTTAAGTTACTGAGTGAAATATTCCAGAAAGTGTATTGATGTGAATTGAGGTCAAAAGATTGGGGAATCGAAAGACAACTAATAAGCCAAACGGTAAAATTATTATGTGGTTGATGAAATTTTGACAGCCTGACCGGATGAATGATGGACTAGTGACTACATTTCCACCCGGAAACAACGCTCGATCTCATGTAATCTGTCAAGGGCAATGTAAACTTCGACTACCCAATGCAGTACAACAAACTTTTTCTTTTATTCTGGTGCCCATCAGGCAATTTGTTTGAAACTTGAGAGACGGTATCGTTATTCAAATATATGGGCAACATTATGCTTACTTCGAGGGATTTCTGGTCAATTGATAGCTTTCCCATGAGTATCCATTTCCCAGGTCGCACTCCGTCGCTCGCGAAGGCTTTCTTCAGAGCTATGCACTCACATTTAATTTCAATATTCAGGCTCCAGAGAGGACGAATTGGGGACTTGAATTTGAGAATCTTCACTTTCCCAGCCAACCTGATTTGATATGAAGCGGCCCTTGAAATGTTGCTTCTGTTAATCGCGGTGTTAGAGAGGCGGGCTCGCAGGGCTTCCGAGGAGTAATAAGACAAAAGATAATAAGGGTGTACAATAAAACTACAACTAATGATATTGTAACTTTAGCGATCTGGTATTCTCTCGGAATTAATGTACCGCGGTGTCACAGCCGGAAACTTTGATATTTGTAAAGAAAGATGCAACATGCAAATACCGGGAACAAAGTTAGGTGTGGCGGCAGATGGCAAGCGAACTCTTTTTGATTCTCGAATTGCTTTCCCAACATGGTGATAATGACACCTGCTTTCCTTTAGCAAACAACCGTAACTTTTCTGCCAACTGTTCTGCAGATGATGAATGACACATTACTGGACAACTGGGGGGCATAGGAAGAAAAGTGGATGAAACTCACGAAACTGCACTAGTTGTATGAATATCTGAGGCCGTACCACTTGGTCGTGTTCAGATACCCCATCTGACATGAAGCAAGGCAGATACTAGAAGTCTGGAATCTATGCAACCGTGACCTAGTACCGAAACTTTCAGAAATAATCGAAAGAGCTGGTACTCATTGTGGAGTTCGATAAAACCTTTTCTCTCGTTGCTATCGATCAGCTAATGTTGGTACACTTGGCGGTGAGCTACAGCAGGAAATAAGAGATTTCAAAAATTAACATAGTGGACCACGAAGAGTAGGTAGGCGCTATTGCAGCACTAGCGAGTTAAGAACGACAAATGCCGTTAATACTTGGTGCAAGGGCCACTAAAATTATTCTGAGTGAGAAAAGTAGCATCGCAGTAGAGTGCGTCATAACGCGAACTTACCCTAAAAGACTAAGCGGGTAAAAGTTACAGAAGAAAAAGAAATGCTGCCGTGAAAGCTGTCATGAAAGCAAAGAAGATGCAAACCAAAGCCAACCTGACTCATGAAGATCCCTACATCATCTTACTTTAACTGAGTGACATGCAGTCCAATGAACTTAAGACAACTTCAGCTCAACATCTGCAGTCACTGAACAAAGACGCTGCTACGGGCAGCTAAAGCCCAAGCACAACCATAGAGAAATGCTATACTGAAAAACAGTTTACTGAAGACAGTGCTACAACAAAAGTGGCAATACGTTAGAGGTTCAAAAGCTTTTCTACCTTTAGCTTCTTGAGACGAAGTACGGATTAAAACCAACGCTTGGAACTGACAGGTGTTCAAAATGAGGAATAGCTAAAGGTCGTGGAGAAAAGTGAAGCTATCTAGTGCAACTAAGAAGGTAACGAGGTGGACGGGCTCTGTCTGCTTCGTGAGGAACAGCAGTACCAGCAGAAGGAGCCAGCTGAAACCGATTTAACACCCGCAGTAGAAGACAGTACGGAATATGCAACAAAAGAAATACGAAATGAAGAAAAAAGGAAGGATATGGTGGTAGCTGGCGAGCAAACAGCAATGACCACAGGCTGACCTCTTGCTTGCTAGACTCGATAGCCCCAAATCAACGAGAATCAGCGCGTCGATAACACAAAATGGAAAAGCCTGAACAGAAATCAACTGAAAGCCACGGGAGAAACTACTGAAGGAAATGAACCGGTTTGTGGGTGATCTGAATTCAAATGAGATCAAAAATGATCCTTGTGTTTAGGAATAACAGATTTTGATCAGAAGCCAGAATTCGTTTAGATTTTGAAGAGCTATCTCGACAATAAACAAAAAGCATTATTTTATTTCTTGTTGCAATTACTGTGCTCAAAGTGTTTATCTGGTAACCAATACGTAACCGGAGTGTCTGGCAGGGTGATGATAAAGCGAGTATGCTGATCAAGCCTTTGGAGCAACGTACTAGTGATTGATAGAAACTTGAATCACCCAAGCGGTTAGCTGATTGCAACGAAGCTGCGACTGTCCAACTTACGCAGCTCACCACACGAGTTCCGTGATTCCAAACACCTAAACGTCGCCAGTATGTAGCGGACAAGACACAACTGTTTGCCGTGTTATGTGGTGATTTTATCTTCTCTTCATCTGGAATTTGGTTCCCGACAATTAGGTTCAGACTTGCATACAACAACCGCGCACGAAAGCGAACTGGTTAAAACTTCGTTAGACACTGCGCAAAATGAGTAAGGGCCTGTCCATTGGACATTTAAACGTTTGGTCTGGTGTCGATTGATGAGAGGTGTGACGAAGCGCTCGTTCCCGAGTACGCGTGCTGCTTCAAAAGGTGAGGTGAGGGCTAAGTACCCAAACCTGTCAATTGCATTCAGCAGCGAATAACTAAACCTTGAGCCATAATAGAAACACTATATACGCATAAGACCACGTTTACCCTTGTTTTGTAAGGAAGACTCATTTGCCTCACAAAGGTCAGTGTGGCAACTCCTCAATGTATTATCCTTAAAACCTGGATCCTCCTGTGACGTGACAATCATATGTGTAGGGGTTTCCCGTTTTCCCATGCACCAGCAACTCCTGATTAAACCAACGTAAGTAAGAACACAGTACAGAAAATGTGAGCATATTAGAGACGCAATGTTTCAACGAAGCACGAACTCGTGCGAGAAAAAGGCACAATTTATACCCAGAGGAGGTGCACAGATTCAGTAGATCGAAACGCAGTAAAGAATCTTATTTTTAAAGGCACTGGGAATAGAAAGAGTTGTTAAGAGGTTTCCCTTGGTCATATCACAAACTTCATTAGTTGTTTGTTACCCTAAGCCTCTAGTTATGTTGCCGCCAAGTGTTCGCAACCCACGGCCGTAAAGGGTACACGGAAGATGAATCATGACAGTATTGAATGTATGAGAAGACTGTTTCCTCATATAGAGTACAATAGAGGATGAAGCAAGGCTAGCAAAACATCTTGAAGTCCAACAACATTATAAGAAACATTGAATAAGACGCGTGAACAAGAAGCGGTAAAAAAAAGAAGTAATCAGGCGAGTTAGAGGTAACAGTCATAGCGGACATAGGCCCTCGATCTCCATTAAGAACAATGTAGGCTGGCTAATCTAAGAAATGGTGAGTTTAGACAAATGTTAATAAACCAATGGTATCGCGGAGAAAGCAGGCAACTAAGAATTGTCGCAGAAAGTACTTGTCCAATACGCATCCTTCTAACACTTCTGGGAGAGAGTCGTAGGTTGTAACCGTCTACAATGCAACAATACCTGTCTACCCAATGTTTCGAGCTGTCTGTACCTGATATTTGGTACACCGTGCTGCTTTCCTCACTTCTTGTGTTTAACGTTACTGATTATGCGACCTCACCATACCGGATACCGTGCATTTCTGTCTATGTTTGTCGGCAGACAGAGTCCTATGATGAATGCACCCACGGAAAAATGCGCCTACGAAAATATGCTACTTCCATCGCTTGGTGCCTACTCGACTCCCTACGCGTCAAGGCCTCAGTGATTCATTCAGAACACTGGACAGACAGAGCACCGCCAGCCCGATCCAGATTGCCGAAGTCCCAGTGATTCGGCGGCTTTAACGCACTTGATGTGAGCAGGCTGAGTTCGTGGCTAGTTTTGCTTTGCCTTTGTGATCAGTGGAACCGCGTTCCGCTGAACTAGACGCTGGCCGGCATCAAATGAGATACGACTGGCAATGTTTGGTCAAAGACACTACTCGATGACTGCCTGTGTGTAGGCGAGTTAATCCACGGGCTGTGTAAACATTTGACGAGACTGGATGAAACGACTGAACACAGCAAACAGAATTGGAATATCATTTCTTCTTGCTATTGTGAAAGTTGTAAGAAACACCCTACTGATCGGTAAAGCAGTATTACTCGATTATTGTTAACATAAATTCCTACTCTGTTTTGAAGCGTTATCAATGGTACTCAATAACTCTAAATTGCAACCGAACTTTGATTTACTTGGGGTTTCAACACGGCACTTATTACAATACGAATGAAATCGTTAAGTAAGTTGCAAGCACAGGAGACCTAGAAGTGTCATTCACTGGGGAAGACTCGAGACGACATCATCTTAGAACAACTGACCGCGCATTTTCACCACTCATATCCGCAATAGGCAGAAGCTAAAGCTGCGAAAAGCAGAATAAAGCTAGACATGAGAGTGATTACTGCTACATCTCGCACGGTGATGGGGAATATGTCGTCGGCGTAGGGTAAGGGACTGATGGCCCATTTGCTCAGACAATCACTCCTTACGAGAACTGGTCGGAATTTCAGAAAATGCGGTTATTTACTTCGTACAACAACCATACATTTCAATATCCCTGAGAGCTACTAAGAACTGGTGTTTCATAATTCAGGTGTGGACGATCCAGTCAGGGTTCCTGCAACAGGTGGGAAAGAACTGTTACGTGCATGGAGCAAAGACACGATCTACGGTGATAGCAGTTTTGAGAAAACTCCCAGTATATTTAGTCAATTATATATCTGGCGCACCAACGTGGGTAACTCGCATCCGCCTTGTGGGCGTATTTTGCTACAGAAAAATGGCAGGAATTTTATTAGTATGTTGGAAATAATGAAGCTGTTGCTGGCTGATTTGATGCGTCGGAAGATTTTATTATAATTTGAGAAGGTCTCCATGAACGCAACGAGAATTGTTTTTCCAGACGCTGAAATCAATGATGGCTATTTCCATCAGTGCCAAAGCCTCAACTGAAAAGTGAACGACGTCAGCCTAAAGATGGCATTTAAATCGGATGTAAAGATAAAACGGCATTTCAAGTCTCTGAGTTCCTTAACCTACGTCCCAGTTATGGTTGAAGGCAGAAACGTTATATACACAAACGAATAAACATTTAAACTTGGATATCAGTTGGTTCGTTCTGAAAAGTACCAGTAGTATATTCCAACATCTGTCAATGAGCAACTTAGCGTTGGATGAAGGAAATGCGTGACGTGGTGAAAATGTCTGAAATGAACTGCCCATAGATTGTCCGTAAGATCGTTCAGCGCACTGTAATGCTAAGTTTGCCCTCGAATCTGAATGGAATGACACGATGTCCTTCCTTGACGTTCAGGTTTGCATAAGCTCAGATGGATCGACCCAACGGTGATTGCACAAAAAACAACGTGAAAC